TTATGCCCTGAGACTGTCTAAAAGTGGTCACTATAAGCAGGTGGTCTTTATACACAGGTTGCTCATATGTTATGATTTGGGACTGTCTAAAAGTGGTCTCTATAGACAGGTGGTCTTTATATAAAGGCCTTCACTAACATAGATTTTACCGTATTTTTATTTTTTGCAGAGTTATAGCGACAACTCATTTTGAACCGACTGCAGCTCGTAAAGCCTTCCCATGTCTGGATGAACCTGAGTTGAAAGCCAACTTTACCATGAAGATAGTACGAGACAAGATGCATAAAGCGCTGTTCAACATGCCATTGGTGGAACCACCGTTGGTCGCATCCACTAACTACGGGGACAATCTCATGCAGGATAATTTTCAGACGACCGTTAAGATGAGTTCGTATCTGGTCGCTTTCATCGTTTGCGATTTTGATTTCAGAAGTAATACGACAACGACTGGTAAAGAGGTATACAAATTTTATCAGGATTTGTCCAATAGTTGAAATTAATTAGTAATGTCGCATAACGTGGTGGACCAAAATGAGATCATTAATCGTTAATCGTTAAAGCTAAATGCGCATATTATCAGTACCATATATGAACGTCAAGATTTCAAATATTCCCATGATGCATTGCATGATGCTGCCCTAGTAATGCTATATAAAAGAGAAGGTGTAGGAAACATATTTTGCTAGATTCCAGATAAAAACCGTGCTCTTTGTTTACCGTGTGTACATTTAATTAGTACATGTAGCAAGAATGCTTCACACCCCCGCCAATCAACGTTATAGGGTGCCTGTCATCGCACCGCGCCCTGTTCGATATGGGACTCGTAGCAACATACACAACATGTGTAATATACATCGTTTGTTTACATGAAATTAGGACACGCGCTGCGCGACGACCACCGCTTATTAATATATTGATCATGTATTGATTGATGTATTGAGCAATTCTGCAATTCCTAGTGAGAAAACTGTTTTCTTATATGGTCTGAGATGAACACAAATCAGTTATTTCAAAGGCTCATTAATTTGCTCTAGAATTTCGTAATTCATGCGTCTTCATCAATTCTCGTGAGATATCACACCATTTGCGAACCCTTATTTTCTAAATCCTTGTAATCGTCAAGTACTTCAGCGACCATTGATTATTAATGCTTTAATATAACTATCATAAACTCTTGGTTGGGGCGGGGGGGGGGGGGGCTGGGCTGGTATTTCGGCGGTAGGGGGTCAAAATTGATTTCAATCACTGTGCACAAAAGTTTAACTCTTTTTTTTTTTTTTCGTGATTTGCTCCATTACACAAACATAATTCTGTGAATTGTTTCCGTTTCAATACAAGAAATTTTTGTGATTGAGTAATTATGGATTATTATAATTATAATTATCAATATTTCATGATAGTCACAGACACAGCTACAAACTTTTGCGATTCTCCTCAACTCGCCAAATTCAGGAGATCTTGAGAAATGAGAGCATTTTGCAGCAGTAAATCAGAAATCTGTATTATGAACTCATAATATGTCACATTGACAAATTTAAGGCAAGCGTTCCTGCATATATTATTTATCGAAAGGCTCAAAATTAAATGAGCTGAATCCTATAGGAACCACGTACGCTAAACTAAAATCTGTCGGTAGCGTTCATGTCCGACAGAGTGGGTTGACATTTCATGACTTCACACCAGAAATTCCGTAACCCCATTTAAAATTTCGCCGACCTCGGAGTAATCTGTGCTATCAATTACCAGAACCTGTCGATATTCAAGGGTGATCCATCACAATGTCATGTGACCGAAGTCATGTGACTGCCATAGTCTATTTCCCTGCTGTTTTTGAAATGTACACCTGAGTGTGGTACAGTGAGTGGCAAGGACCAGGAAGGTCATGCATGATGCAATCTTTGTATTAAACTGATAAATTTACGGTCGGCCAACGCTAAATACGATCAATTTTATAATCGTCATGTTCAGTTATTTTACATTACGTTCTAATACCTTTCTAATGCTACTGTTAAAATCGCTTTGCCAATTTTCAATTTGGTGAAACATGTTTAAATAGCTACATGCCATTTTAGCGAATTTGACTCCATACATGAATTAACTGAATCTTAATTTAGCTAAAGTGTCAATAATCTCATTGTGAGAATATACTTTATTTTAAATTAGCGACACCTTGAATTAGCAAAATTACAGATTAGCTAAATTAGCTAAAATAAAATGCTAGCTAAAAAGACATGTTTTACAGTATACATTATCAGTGTGTTCTCTCTGTTCATATACTGTAAAATTACTAATTTTCACTGGGTTTAAATTTCACTGATTTAGCATTTCAGGCATATTCAGTGGATTTTAAATTCACGGTTTCGTCATTTGGATAATGTGTTCTATGCTAAATTTTATATATTCACTGTGTTTTAATTTAGCGCATTTTTCCAGTCAGCGAAATAAGCTAAATTAAAACCCAGTGAATAATTACCCCCTTTACAGTATATCATTGGGAAAGGATAATTTGTTCAAAACGTCTGGGTTTCCAGAACTGAACTGAAGGGGTGTGAAGTTTTTTGAGATCCATGGATTTATAGAGATAGTAAGATAACACTAGGAACCCATATCCGGAAATCTGAAGATAATAAATTATATAGACCGACGACGACACCAACGTTAATCAAAATTTAATCATTCGACAATTCATCATCAGTTTGGGTAATGTGATACATGGAAAGATTGCACAATTTTTGTTTCTATGGAAACAAGATGCATATCCCTCAATTGTCATTAAAACAGTAATGTGGATAATTATTTTTAATTATATATAATTAATTTTAAAACAGGAAGTATTGTAGGAAATTTATTCTGCATTGGGCTTAATTAGTTTTAGTTTTGTTTCGCTGGTAGTTAAATGTGTTAAATTAAACATGAGGAGTATGTAAATTTAACAACTGTATTTTTCATGAATTATTGAACATAAAATCCATGAATATTCATGCAACATCGATGGGTGGTAGTGGACCTGCACTGACCCTTCAAAAATCTTAATTTTCTGAGTTGAGGTCACAGGTCGTGGTCGACTACAACATCTTCACCACACAAAGAACAGAATTACCCTGCATTTTGGCCTTAACCTTTCCCCAATCAGTTCCCTCTTTTCATCACAAATTCACAAAATAGACCCATTTATAGTCGGCACTTTCCTTTAGAAGATTGGGACAAAAATAGCAAAATTTTTTAAGTAAAAGCAAAAAATTGACTTAAATTTCATCTGTTGATTCCAAAATTAGGGTTCATTTTCAGAAATATTGAAAAATATTAGAAAAAGTCTGGTGGTGAAAATGAATAAGTACACATGAACTTGGGGGGGGCAGACACTGAGTTGATTCGCAGGAAAATACTGTAGAATACTTTTTTTTTGCTTGAAATTTATTTTCGCTGAAAGGATGATTCCTTGAAAATAAAATCCAGCAAATATACTTTTTTTCCTGTATTTCACATTCAACTCATCAAAAATCAGTGAAAATAAATTCCATACAAAACACCCAAAATGCCTTTTCAGCGAAAATTAATTCCAGCTAAAATAAAGTATTTCACAGTAACTTTTATTTAAAATCAAGGCAACTGTCATATTATGTGCATACATATGTGAATAAACAGATAAACAATAAAACCTTGATAAAACAATAAAATAAAACAAATATCCCACATTTTGTATCAAGAAAATAGTTTGGTTATTCCATGCAGCAGATGTGTTCTTTGCATTTTTCATAAAACGCTGTGACGATAATACTAGATGAACATGATGAACTTCAAGAACGTCAAGATTTCAAATATTCCCATGATGCATTGCATGATGCTGCCCTAGTAATGCTATATAAAAGAGAAGGTGTAGGAAACATATTTTGCTAGATTCCAGATAAAAACCGTGCTCTTTGTTTACCGTGTGTACATTTAATTAGTACATGTAGCAAGAATGCTTCACACTCCCGCCAATCAACGTTATAGGGTGCCTGTCATCGCACCGCGCCCTGTTCGATATGGGACTCGTAGCAACATACACAACATGTGTAATATACATCGTTTGTTTACATGAAATTAGGACACGCGACGACCACCGCTTATTAATATATTGATCATGTATTGATTGATGTATTGAGCAATTCTGCAATTCCTAGTGAGAAGACTGTTTTCTTATAAAGCGATATTATTGTACGACTTTATTATATGTACAATTAACACAAAAAAAAAACAGGAAAATATTATAAATTAATCTAATAATTATATGTTTATAACTGCAGAGATATTGTTGAAGACCAGAAGGCTATAAAACTTGACTTTGTCCTTTAAATAGTGTTCCATTCAACCAAATACATGTAACCATGTTTACACTGATTTTTTTTCTCAGCATGATATAGGCGACCATTTTTATCTTGGCGGCCATTTTCATCTTGGCGGCCATTTTTATCTTAGCAGCCATTTTCACCAACAAGTAAAGTCTAGTGTATAATTCATATTTCATATCATATCTTGTTTTTTGTTTTTTTCATCAGGTTCGTGTTTATGCTCCATCAGACACCATAGATGAAGTGGAAGTGGCATTATCGGCCGGTACCAAAATATTGGAATATTACGAGGAGTATTTCAGTGTACCATACCCACTTCCCAAACAAGGTAGGTTTAGGGGGAAAAGAGGGTTTTCTTTTCTTGTCTCAAGAAAAAAGGAAAGATAAAGCAGCAATTCTGTATTAATTTTAAAAAAAAAATGTTAGTATTAATATTATTCAATACCACAGCAGTGTATAAGTTCAGTGCTTATTTGAATACATTCATTAACTTTTTAACCACAAGACTTTCTTGCCCATATTATTATGCACATTTTTCAGATAAAACCATGCTTTGAAACTGACCAATCAGATAAAACCATGCTTTGAAACTGACCAATCAGATAAAACCATGCTTTGAAACTGACCAATCAGATAAAACCATGCTTTGAAACTGACCAATCAGATAAAACCATGCTTTGAAAATGACTCAACCGATAAATCCATGCTTTGAAACTGACCAATCAGATAAAACCATGCTTTGAAACTGACCAATCAGATAAAACCATGCTTTGAAACTGACCAATCAGATAAAACCATGCTTTGAAACTGACCAATCAGATAAAACCATGCTTTGAAACTGACCAATCAGATAAAACCATGCTTTGAAAATGACTCAACCGATAAAACCATGCTTTGAAACTGACCAATCAGATAAAACCATGCTTTGAAACTGACCAATCAGATAAAACCATGCTTTGAAACTGACCAATCAGATAAAACCATGCTTTGAAACTGACCAATCAGATAAAACCATGCTTTGAAAATGACCAATCAGATAAAACCATGCTTTGAAACTGACCAATCAGATAAAACCATGCTTTGAAACTGACCAATCAGATAAAACCATGCTTTGAAAATGACCAATCAGATAAAATCATGCTTTGAAACTGACCAATCAAATGAAACCTACAGACATTCATTAACTTTTTAACCACATGACTTTCTTGCTCATATTATTGTGCACTTTTTTCTTCTATTCTTCAATATTTCTGGAAATGAACCCTAATTTTGAAGCCAACAAACATAATTTGAGTAAATTTTCAGTTTTTACTCACAAAATTTGGTTCAAATCTTCTGTAAGAAAAGTGCAGACTATAACGGGACTATTTTTTACACTTCATTGATATGCAAAATTACCCCCAAAAAACTAGAGTCAGTCTACATTCGCACATTGACCAATTAGTGTTTTTTCTACATTGGTTCATTTTCACTTCACCTTTCTGTTTTATCTCGTTCCTGTAGCAGTCAAACGCTTTCTTACCACTGTATTTAGTGGAGTCGTTTTGGAAATAAATGTTATTCAGGTTGTGTATTGAATCGTTATAAAAATACCTAACTGTGTCGTAATTTCTGTGGCGTTAAAAATATGACAAACACAAATTATGCAGGTTTAGAAGGCGGTGGTCATCACGCCGCGTCCTGTTCAATATGGGACTCATAGCGACGTACACGACATGTGTAAAATACATTGTTTGTTTACAGGAAACTTGAACACAGCCACCCTATAAAGAAAATATACGAAAATATAAGACCCCCCCCCCTCCCCCAAATATTTGATGATCATTTTGTTGAAATTTTGAACTCCAAATAAGAGCCCACCAGTCGTGTAACCGCCCAGGGCACTTTTTTGGATTGGCGAATTTAAGGCAGAATCCGGTATATACATTGTAGTACATTATTATATTTTCTTTTTAAGCCTAAGAATAGTTTAGAACTGTTTTCTTATATTAATTCTTCTTTATTTAGATATGGTAGCTATTCCAGACTTTGCTGCGGGTGCAATGGAGAATTGGGGATTAATAACTTATAGATTGACGGCACTGCTGTACAAAGAAGGTGTTACATCAGAGAGGAACAAACAATGGGTTTGTATCGTGGTAGCACACGAACTTGCACATCAGGTGAGTGTTTTCCTATCTAAATAGCGCCCTCTATTGATTTGCGTACGCCCTCTATAGTTGAAATATTAATATCTTATTCCCAGGCGGACACCCAGGCATTTTCACCACCTGGCAACCATCACTGTGAAAACAAAAGCAGAAAACGGTACTTTGGGGTGGTTGTTGAGACTCCCCTGAACAGTGTAACAAGATTACCCCTGCGTGTGTAACATATATAAATTTTGGTTATTCAGGATTACTTCAATGTTGAGTTTGTGCTGTTTCCTTGACTTAAGCTGTTTTCACCGGCTCTTCGATCGGCGTTCCACAGCAGCTCGCATAGAGTCCATAGAAATGCATGGTACAGTAATGAGCTTCTTAGCAACGTGGAACGTTCTGTGACGTAGCTCTGCCCTGTGAATAGACTGACTGACAAGTGGTTACATCAGGGAAGAATCAACTATTGGAAGCATTCATGTTAAAGCGGGGGAATCGTCACCTGGGCATGCGTCAGATGGCCATAACGTGTCATTGTTTACAAACAAGCGTCTACCCATGAGCCTTTGGGTTTTTAGTGTGTGTTGTTATTGTCACTTGGGACTCAATTCCCGCACGTGCGTAGGTGACGACCCTCCCGCTTTAATCAAAGCAGGATGATGGTCAATTAGTTATGTCTTTCTGGTTGATTTATGTATCTAAATGGTAGCCATTATGGGAGACAATGAACAGCGAACAAACAAACGATAGCATAATAGTAACCTAACAACAGAAGGCGCTCTAGCATCTCACTGGAAAACTACAGAGATTGTAGTTTCCAAGGTTTCTTACAATATCTATTAATACACAAGTGACAATAGAAGGTGTTTGGTTAGGTATCACTAATCTAAAATTTTCATGGAGCCAAAACGTGTTATTACATGTACTTATCCTCAGAGGATTTATTTTTTTTCTAGTTCATTTTTCGGACATGCCTTGACGGATTTTTTCAAAACTGACAGCATTTGCATGTCAATGTTTTTAAAAGCTCTTAAACAAACTAATTTTATCATGAAATCTCATGCTGATCACAATTACGGTGAGAGGTGTTCTGCATATACAGTCAAACCTGTCAGTGTAATACCTACCTAGGGACTACTGGTTTCTTAAAATCTTCATTATAGACAGGTGGTAGTTATATGGAGGTTGGATTTTTTTCCCTGAATATTTGTTCACAAATAATGGTTTATATATGGTTTATTGAAACACTTAAAATTCCTCAGAAGGAATTAAAATGGTTACACTAACTGCTAAAACACATATATAAAACATACAAATTTTACAAGAATTACTGTCTAAAGCACAACAATGGTTTAAAATGAAATGAAATTGAAATGTTCATAATGTTTAAGTACATTTCCCAGACTATAGCAGTTACCATGGGAACATAATGTCTCGCACGTTATCTACTCTGCTGTAATAATATAAGGTTATTACGAGAATACCTCAAAGTATGCACGAAGACAGTACAGCTGGAGTATCAAAGTTGATGTGCGACGTACTATCTCGTAATAACCTTATTATTATACATCTTTTTCTTTCAAGGATACATTATGGGAATGCCAAAATCCCAAAAGTTTAGAACAGAATCAGCGAACTCTTTGTGTGGAGTCCGGTCAAACTCTGGCGGCATTATTATTAGAGGACGTTTATGCGCATAATCATTCCATATTTGGAATTCGCATTTCCGAATATGATAGGATGAAAATACCCCGTAAAATACTGCAAAATTACGGCACGCTGTAACTTATGGAATGATCTCCAAATTCAAATTTGAAAGTCTTGTCTCTCCAAATTGAGTTTATTTTCTTATTTTTAGTGGTTTGGTAATTTGGTTACCATGGAGTGGTGGAATGACCTGTGGTTAAATGAAGGTTTTGCTAGTTATGTGGAATACATCGGAACCAATCATACCTATCCAGAATGGAAAATGGTAAGTCATGTGACAGCTTAGGCCAACCCCCCAATAAATTGTTTCCCATCATTGTGCATGTCAGTCTCACTTTTGAAACAATTTCACAGAGCACACTAATCAGATGAAACTGATGAATCAGATAAAACCGTGCTTTGAAACTGACCAATCAGATTAAAGGAGTGCAATTTGCATAGTAAAATCTGGTCACCATCTTTTTGCTTTACATCATTGCATTCATTAATTTGAAAAATGCATCTTTGAAACTGAGCAATCAGATAAAAACATGTTTTGAAACTGACCAATCAGATAAAATCATGCTTTGAAACTGACCAATCAGATAAAACCATGCTTTGAAACTGACCAATCAGATAAAACCATGCTTTGAAACTGACTAATCAGATAAAACCATGCTTTGAAATTGACCAATCAGATAAAACCATGCTTTGAAACTAACCAATCTGATAAAACCATGCTTTGAAATTGACCAATCAGATAAAACCATGCTTTGAAACTGACTAATCAGATGAAACCATAGTTTAAAACCAATCAGATTTTTTTTTCTAGCTGGACCAGTTTATTTACTTAACCACACAAGAAGCTTTGGTAGAAGATAGTCTGAGTAACTCTCATCCGATTTCAGTGCCAGTCACTGACCCCAATGAAATTAACGAGCTATTCGATGGTATATCATATGACAAGGTGAGAAATAACAAACAAACATTTTTCAGCAGCCATTTTGTATGGTATAGAATGTTGTATGATTTGTGCTGTGCAAGCAGCCGATCAGATCATTGCTGCTATCACCATGACAACATAAATAATGTACATAATACTGATGCGTCAGGTTGCTGGATGCCACTCTCCAGATATCAACATCAAAGCGCCCTCTAAAGTTCAATTTCTAACCCATAATCCTTTGCAAAATCGAATATGGTGGAAACGCATTTCTGCCCTTCACCCCTAATTTCAGTAATGTAAAATACTAGTAACTCATTATTATTTCAACTTGGGTGTATCCAATCAAATATTTCTCTTTATATAGCTTATTCAATCCTGTCTAAACTGAACACCACATTCAAACCTCAAACTGTATTGAAGTCACTTTATTTATTTTCAGGGAGCATCTATTATTAGGATGTTGGAAAATTTTCTGACACCAGATGTGTTCAGACAGGGTCTAACTGACTACCTGACGAGACATCAATACGGGAATGCCAGGACTGATGACCTATGGGAAGCCATGACAAAGGTTAGTTCACACAGAGGGGGTGAATTTGTAAAAGCTGAACAGCTGCTCCAGAGGGGTATAGATTTAGATTTGAACAGCATTGACTAAGGTTAGTTTAGATAGAGTGGGTGAAGATGTATAGCTGAACAGCTTCTCCAGAGGGGTATAGATTTTGATTTGAACAGCATTGACTAAGTTTAGTTTAGATAGAGTGGGTGAAGATGTATAGCTGAACAGCTTCTCCAGAGGGGTATAGATTTAGATTTAAACAGCATTGACTAAGGCTTTGAATAGCATTGACTAAGGTTAGTTTAAACAGAGGGGTGAAGTTGTGAAGCTGAACAGCCATGACTGAAATATTTCTTACAGGAGTTACAGATTTGGAGTTTAGATGTAATTATTAGAAACTGTTTAGGTTTATTGTTTAACCTTTCTATAGATATATATTTGTATTCTCGGGTGGATATAAAGACATTTAAACTGCCTGGAAACGATCACACTGAAAACAAAGACCGAAAACTCTCAGAAAACAGTACTTTGGGCTAGTTGTTGAGACTGTCCTGAACAGAGCAACAAGATTACCGCAACATGTGCAACTTATATAAATTAGGTTGTTCAGGATTGTCACATAGTTGAGTTTGTGCTGTTTGTTAAGTTAGCTGTTTTCATTGGCTCTTCGACCGGTGTTCCACAGCAAGCTCACGCAGAGACCATAGAAATACATGGTACAGTGGTGTACGTCTTAGAAACTTGGAACGTCTTGTGACATAACTCTGCCCCGAGAATAGCAGATTCCTCGTCAACATGTGGGCTGTACAGCGCCCTCTGTTGATGAAAAGAAGAAACCTGCAAAATTTAGGTGCCACGAATTGAACAGCAAAAAAAAATGCCTCACCGCCCACATTTTTTTTTAGTAAACTAGAAAAAAAGTTATAGAAAAATTAGAACCTGAGCAAAGTTAAAGGCTTTAGTGTTCACAAAAGGGGTAGATTGCAGATTGAAACAGCATTCACTATAATTAATTTAGTGTCAATATATGTCTCTCACTTGTCTATTCAGAGCAGCGAAACCAATGGAGAAAAAGTAAATGTGAAAGAGGTTATGGACACATGGACGTTACAGATGGGGTACCCCGTGGTGACGCTGTCACGAAAAGGGGGCAATATAACCGCTACACAGGAACGATTTTTGATTTACCCCGAAGGCGAACCATCTACAGAATTCACATCGCCATTTGGGTGAGTAACAGAGTTTATGCAACATGTTGTTGTTTGCGCATTCAATGAGGCTACTTGTGAGATGATTGGCTAACCAACCCTTACACCTAATAATCAGACCAATCAGAGAGCAACGTGTTGTTGTTTGCGCATTCAATTAAGCTACTTACGAGATGATTGGCTAACCAACCCTAACACCTAATAATCAGACCAATCAGAGAGCAACATGTTGTTTGCGCATTCAATTAGGCTACTTACGAGATGATTGGCTAACCAACCCTAACACCTAATAATCAGACCAATCAGAGAGCAACGTGTTGTTTGCGCATTCAATTAGGCTACTTACGAGATGAATGGCTAACCAACCCTAACACCTAATAATCAGACCAATCAGAGAGCAACATGTTGTTTGCACATTCAATTAGGCTACTTACGAGATGATTGGCTTACCAATCCTAACACCTAATAATCAGACCAATCAGAGACTAACTTGTTTTCTAACTTATTCTAAAAAAAAAACATCGCCATTTGATGTAAATTATATAATATTTACAAGATCATGTCTGATGAAAAATAAAGGTCGGTCTCTTCAATCACCAATGGTGAAGTACTTGCATTTTCTCACTAAAGTATTATAAAATAGGCACCACTGGGTTTCGAACCAGGTACTTGACAGGCACTTTAAAGTGCCTGTGAAATGGCTGCTATTTTCGCGCCTAAAATTATCAATTGATACATAAATATTATTAATTTTTATGTTTCTAAGCATGAATTATTTGTTTTAAGTGAAAAAATGTGTTTTAAACTTAGTCTATGGCAACTTTATTGTTGTGTATTTTAAAACGAGGCTCCTCATTAGCTTCTCATTTGCATACAGAAATTCCCCTTGTGACGTCAGAAGGGGAAGTCGCATTGCCGATACGTGTAAATAAGGCAAATTTCTTGTGCAGTTTTCTCGTCTTTGACTATATTGTCGCTTATGTACTTGTTCGTCGAGGAAGAATGTACCATAATGAACACATAGTATCAATTTTTGTTACATGGGGTTGAGTTAGATGCGAAATATGTCCGTTTTGGTGTAGCTGGTCACCGTGATCGTCACCAACACCGGCGCACGTTTGTACACTGTTGCTGGACAAAATAGAATTTGACGTCGGAATTATCTCGTTATTTAGCAGGTTACTAGGCACATCACTACACTGTTTTATTTCATCGATCGTCTGAGTAAAACTTGCAAAATTAAAATAAAAGAGAACATATTTTGACATTCTAAACATTAGACTATTAATAGTGATCACTATAAAATAATTAAAAAAAACGACAAATCACAGTTACTAAATAAATGACAGCCGCGTGAAAATAAATTGACATTTTGTTGAAATAGGTGAACGCGTCAGGTCACGGCAAGGG